AGGGTCCAGAGGAGGGCCACTTGCATGATCAAGGGACAGCAGGGCAGGTCCTACGAGGAAAGGTTACGGGACCTGAACCTGTTCAGCCTCCAGAAGGGAAGGCTGAGGGGGGATCTGGTGGCTGTCTATAAACTTGCCAAGGGGGCACCAGCAGGCATTGGGGGAGTCCCTGTTCCCCTGAGCACTACCGGGAGTAACAAGGAACAACGGCCACAAGTTGACGGAGAATAGATTCAGGCTGGATATCGGGAGGCGCGACTTCACTGTCAGGGCAGCCAGGATCTGGAACCAACTTCCAAGGGAAGTGGTGCTGGCTCCTACTCTGGGGGGCTTCAAAAGGAGGCTGGATAATTCCTAGCTGGGGTCATATGAGCTTAAACTTACCAGGGGTGATATGAGCCCAGTATTCACTCCTGCCCAGGGCAGGGGTCGGACTTGATGATCTGCTCAGGTCCCTTCCAACCTGACCAACTATGAACATATGTGTGCGGGTATGCAAGCGAGCTGGATGCATGAGAACATGCCTGCTGCGTATATGCATGTGTGCAGGATCACGTGTGCAGCACGTACAGCATTTGCATGTGCAGGCAGCAGTGTGCGTGGGTCAACCTGAGTGCAGGGAGGTGTGCGATCACACGTGCAGGTGTGTGCAGCTGGGCTGCTTGCAGGGCACGACTATCCCGAAGCCGCGGTTTCTGCAGAAAACTATCCAGGAGCTGGGCATCGGCACCTTCCGCGACGTGGCCATGGTGCACGAGGCAGCGCCCCTCTACGACGCCCTTGAGATCTTTGTCGCCCGCCGGGTCTCTGCCCTGCCGGTCGTCAATGAAGCTGGTACTGGTGCACACCCGCCCCCCACCCCACCCCCCCACCCCGTGCCTGGGGTGCTCCCGGTGCCCACTCATTGCGGGTCTGTAGGGTCCCATCCCTGCTGCCCGTGGCCCTGACACTTCTCTCCCATGTCCCCGCAGGGAAGGTCGTGGGGCTGTACTCCCGCTTTGATGTCATTGTGAGTGCCGGGGGCAGGCATGGCGGGGAGGGGGGCTCTGTCCACGTTGCCTCGGGGTTGGGGGGAGGAGCTGCTCCGCAACCCCGGAGCTGCTGGGGGACCTAGAGTGGGGCAGGGACCAGCCCCAATTGCCATGGGGAGGTTGTGCAGGTGTGTGCAGGGGTGAGCACATGTGCGTGTGTGTGTGCTTGTGCATGCATGCAGTGGTTGTGCATGTGTGTGCATGGAGATGAGCACACGTATGCATTGTGTGTTCTTGTGTATGTATGCAGGGGTTGTACACGTGTGTGCCGGAGTGAACGTACATGTGCACTATGCGTGTATTGTGCATGCATGCAGGGGAACGTACATGTGCACTATGCGTGTATTGTGCATGCATGCAGGGGTTGTGCACGTGTGTGCACCTGCAGGAGGTGTATCCATGTGTGTATTGGGGTGAGCACGTGTGCAGTGGGTATGTGCATGTGTGTTGAGGTTGTGCATGTGTGTGAGTGGAGGTGAGCACCCGTTTGCAGCATGTGTGTTCTTGTGTATGTATGCAGGCGTTGTACATGTGGGTGTGGGGGTGAGCACATGTATGCAGTGTGTGTGTGTGTGTGTATTCTTGTGCATGGGTGCAGGGGTTGTGGCATGTGTGTGGATGGAGAGGAGCACACATATGCAGCATGTGTGTGGACAAGCCCGCAGGGGACATGTGCTTGGGTGTCAGGGTGAGCATGTGTGCAGTGTGCGCATGCTTGCTGGGGTTGTGTGTGTCTGTGTGTGTGTGTGTGTGTGTGAGATCAGTACGTATGTGCAACGTGTGTACGAGGGGAGTGTGTGCACATGTGCGGGGGGTGGATGGGAGACTTCTGAGGTGACCCCCGGGGCAATTGGGGCTGGTACCAAGTGCAGTGCCCCAGTGTGGCACCAGGGGGTGGCAGGGTGAGGCCCCCCCATGCACACGTGTGTGTGCTTGCACACATGCTTCCTGCATGCATGTACTGCCTTGGTATGCTCGCTCACCCCCCCGCCCCACACACACGCCCAGCCCCCACAGGCATGCCTACCCATACACACCTTGCACATGTAGGCTCACGTCCACATATGCACAACTCCTGCAGACATGCACACCCACACGCTGCACATGTGCACACCCCCTCATACACACACACAACCCCTGCAGGTATACACATGCTGCACCCACATGCTCACCCCTGCCCACTTAGCCAGTGAGAGCTCTCCCTCCACCCCAAGGCTGGGCCGGGGGCTCCTCCATGTCCAAGAGCTGCAGCCTTCGGCCACGGCCCTGCCGGTGGGGTTGGGGGGATGTCCTGGCTGGGACCCAGCTCCGGGTCCGACCCCTGGGCCTCTCCCCGCAGCACCTGGCGGCACAGAAGACCTACAACAACCTGGACGTGAGCGTGGGCGAGGCCCTGCGGCAGCGCAGCCTCTCCCTGGAGGGCGTCCTCACCTGCTACCCCCATGAGACCATGGAGGCCGTCATCGACCGCATCACCAGCGAGCAGGTCGGTCTCCGGTCCCCTCAGCCCAAACACCCCTGTCTGGGCCCTTCGCCCCCTCACCGGGCTCTGGACCCGGTCCCGGGCTCCAGAACATGGGAGCAGCCTGTCAGTGCACGAAGCGCTGCAGAGACGAGGGAGAGCAGCTTCTCTCCCCTGCTGCCCGGAGCAGGTGCCCAGAGAGAGCAGGGGTGCCCACAAAGGTGCCCAGAGCGGGGAGGGCCTTGAGGTCCCTGCCCAGGGCTGGAGGTTGCAGCCAGGCAGGCTAGATCTGCATAATTAGATTAATAATAATCTAGATCTCTGCAGGGATTTTCCCCCTGCTCAGCGTGGCCCAGCTGGGGAGTTTCCCCTACTTCTGCAGCGGGGCATGGCCTGGGCCTGGGCCTGGGCTCTCTCCAGAGCCCACCAACCCCGCTGGCAGCAGCAGGGCATTGGCGGCTGCAGTCCCTCTGCTTTCCTGGGGGCAGGGGCGGAGGCGATGCCAAGGACTTTGTCCGGAGCGACTGTCGTGCAGCTCCGAGGTCCCACATGGGGCTTGTCTGGGAGGGTTTGGATGGGGCAGATCCTGCCTCGGGCTGCCTCAGCTCCCGGCCATCCCTGCGACGCTGGGATTCTTGTCTGTGCCCAGCTCCGCACCTCTGGCCAGGCTGAGCTCTGACCTGCGCCGTCCCCCCGACAGGTCCATCGCCTGGTTCTGGTGGACGAGCAGCAGTTCCCGCGGGGCATCATCTCGCTGTCCGACATCCTCCAGGCACTGGTGCTCACGCCCGCAGGTATCGATGCTCTTAACTCTTAAGCCTGCGATGCTCCATCTTTTCTCCATTACCACCCTCCATTTCCTCCGCTTCTCTCTCCAGCTCAGGTAGGCTCTGCCCCCCTACCACCCCCCACCCCCACCGCATGCCCCTGCCTGGCTGCCCTGGGGCTGGGAGGGCCCTGTGCCTGCCTCGCGCTCAGGTCTGTATCCCGTGCCGGCAAATCCCTTGGCATCTCCGCATGCCATGAACGGGCACCCCCATGCACCCAGCCTCCACTCCCTGGCTGCAGCTGTCCTGTCGGCCCTGACCCCCCACCCCCACCAGTCCTTGTGCCCCTGGCAGAGGAGCCCCTGAAATGCAGCAGGTGGAGATCTGTGGGCAGGCGGGGGGAGGATGGGGTGTTTCCATCACCCCCTGGTTCAGGTCTGGTGCGGCTAGGATCTGGAACCCGCTTCCAAAAAAGGGAGGAGGGAGGGAGGACCCAGGCAACTATAGGCCCGTTAGTCTTACTTTGATCCTGGGGAAGCTCTT